TTTCTATTTTGGGGTGCCATGAGTTTTCTGGGGGTTTTGCAGCTTGTCACCAAGTTCCATGGTTATTATGTTAGCTGTGCTATACCTGAGCTGGTTTGTTTCCCTTAGCATGTTGGTTGGGATTGTTCTGATGACAACATTGGCATCATTCAGTAGATCTTTTACTGGTTTACTTTGTAATTGGCGCAAATTGGGGAGCCTTTGTCTTTCTGTGTCCTGGCTAATATGGGTAACTATTTTCTCCCTCGGTGATCTTGCTGTTCTGTCAACTCATAATTTCTGGGTTGTTCCATAAGTTGTTCCTCTATTGATATGTTTTCTCCCACTACTGTGTCTACCTCTACCCTCCATTTGTCTTCCATATTATGGTCATTGTTCTGCGTAGTTTTTGCTACCTTTTCTAGTTCTTCCAATTCCAGTTCTGAAAATACTTTACTCCCAATGATAAATCTTCTCTGGTCCATTAATCGTTGTTCAGTTATGTCACTACTTGGGTGTTTCTTTTTCCAGATTTCCATCATTCTTTTTTTAAAACCATGGGCTTTTGGGTTTGCCTCATAATAACATTTCATAATTTCTCAATTTTCGGCGAGAGTCCAAGTTTTGCATTTACGTTGTTCCAGTAGCTTTGCAGAAGCCTGTCCTGGTTGCTCATCAGGGTCTGCTGAGCCCTCTAGCCCATTTGTCACCAGATGCTCTGGGGCTATAGTATCTGATGTGGCCTTTGTTGTTCCGGTTGACAACCTATCCAGATTTCTGTTTATTTCGGCTCATCATAATTGACGGTTGATGGACACAGTTGGTGTGGCTTCTCTGCTGAGACCTGTCTGGCTTGGGAGACCCTTCAGCATAGCTCTTAGCCTCACTGAAGCACACAAGCCCCTGCTACTACTGCTGTTCAGGTTAATAATAATAATTCCTCAGCACTAACAGCCTATCTATCTGTCTGTCTGTCCGTCCATCCATCTTATATACAGCCTCATAGTGCAAAGCACTCTCGGGGCAGTTCACAGCATAAGGATATAAACAATAGAAAGCAACACAGCACAAGGGACAGACACGTATCATTAAAGAATAAAATCAATCAATCAACAAAATAACTGAACCAGCCAAACCCAATATTACTCTGTTGCTAGTGTGGGTGTGTGAAATTTGAGATGTCTTTGACAATTTTGAAAAAAAAATATTATTAATGTATTACTAGAAACGAATGCAATGAGCACTCAAGAGAACACAATGAATTCATTTGCAAATCAACACTAACATTAAATCACTAGTTTTAGGGGCTGAGGGTGTGGGGAAATAATGTAGAAGGGTTGTGCCTTCATGGTTTGTTCACAAACTTGTTGTCGCTATGTTTTACTCTGGAGAAGAGTCCATAGCTCAGTGGCAGATCTCAAACTTCGCATATAGAAGGTCACAGGTTCATCCCTTGCTTCCTCCACATTGAATTGGAAAAACATATTTCAAATGCTTGAGACTTATCAGAGATGGGGACTCAAGTCACGGGACTTGCTGTCAAGTTGGACTTAAGTTGCACTGGCAACCTGACTCAACCAGGCAGGGGTGGGTGTTCAATGGCTCACACTCAACTTGCAATTCAGGTCCCACCCACTCCCTCCCTTTTTTTCTGGGGAAAGAAGGTTATTTTTATAGTCTTGGACTTAGGGCTTGGGACTCAGGACTTGCTACCAAAGACTCGGACTCGGGCTTGGGACTTGGACCCAAAGACTTCCCAACATCCCTGAGAGTTACTGCTTGTAAGCAACACTCAAAGAAATGCTATCAAATACTTTTGATTTCCCTATGGGTGTCTTGAAAACATGGGGCTTATCACTATTGGATGTTTTATCCTTTATCTGATTCAGCACAAGTCTTTTTGTAAACCATGCTCTTAAAATCCAGCACCAAATTTGGATGTGACCAATACAATAATATGTTCAACAATTTCTGCCTGAAAAGAAGTTTGAGTTCTGATGCCAGTGTAGAAGGGAACGAATATTTTTGCTTACATCTAATTGCAAAGCAAAGCAAAGTGTGCTGCTTATATACAGCCCCATAGTGCTTCAAGCACTCTCTGGGCGGTTTACAAGCTAATTATGCAGGCTGCATATTGCCTCCCAAGCAAGCTGGGTACTCATTTTACCGACCTCGAAAGGATAGAAGGCTGAGTCAACCTTGAGCCGGCTACCTGGGATTTGAACCCCAGATCGTGAGCAAAGTTTTGGCTGCAGTACAGCAGTTTAACCACTGCGCCATGATTGCTAGTTCCAACTGGACTAGATACACTGTATCAACTGCTGAATGGTCATTCAGACCATTCCATTGATTCAACAGGTCTAGTCTACTTGGGACTATCAATTAGATTCAGCTTTATTGTCTACATTTCCATAATAGATTTCTTCCATTTGAGCCCCATGCTGCTTAACAAAAGAAAGAGCATTGTTCCAGGAAAATTCCATCAAACAATGCACACCTTTGTAACACTACAATTCTCAACCTTCCTCCACCCGTCAAGTATATAATGATATTTATATGCAACAAGTTATTCCTAAAGTGGTTTAATCCATTTTAGTTTGTCAGCATAAATGTATCTACATATGAATTTAGGCATGGCTGGCTCATACGTGCAAGTACAGAACATGATTTTTGCCTTTGCCTTATTCAGAGGTCCTACAGAGTCAATACATCTGCCATCTACTTCAATACAGTATCTCGTTTTTACAAGGTCTGAACTGAGGCCTGCTGGCTCATACGTGCAAGTACAGAACATGACTTTTGCCTTTGCCTCATTCAGAGGTCCTCCAGAGTCAATACATCTGCCATCTACTCCAATATCTCGTTTTTTCGAGGTCTGAATTGAGGCCTCATCCTACATGCATAGCTATTTAAATGCTTGAGCAGGAGTTGGTTGTATACCTCACCTGAAATTTGGGTGTGAGATCCTCCCCTCATCCTTGGATCATAATCCACCCCTGCCAACATGTTCCAGAACTTCTCTGTACAATTGGGGAAAACGTGCTGTTAGAGATCCTGACTGAGCAGAGAAGCATTTGGATGTGTCTGGACTATCCATTCAGTCTTTCTGGTGATGTGTGAAGTTATGGGTGCGAACTCGGAGGAGCCCTGGCACCAAGGACAGAGCCAGTGAGCCGGACATTACTCTGCCCTCAGAAGGATCCTCTGAGGACTCAGTAGGCACAGCCAGGCAACTGTCTCGGGGGACAGATGCTAGAGTATGGCCATAGCACTGGCAGCCTCTTGGGGAAGATAGGCCTGTAGATGCCACATTCTTGCCCTACAACCCTTGCTGCTCTCTGTTTTGCTGAAGGATGGCAGTGTTGAAGTAAGGTTCAACCACTAGTCCAGTTGGCTTCTATTCCAGGAATGGAAAGGGGCTTCCATCTTGCCATTTGTCTCAGGCAGCAAGATGCTATGGTCACCCATGGTCCTTTGAGGCCTTGTAGCCAAATGACTGAATTCCTGGTATCAAAAAGCATGTCATATAACTCATGAAATGTGAGGTGATACAAACCATACCTGTAGGATTCAATGTGTATTGGCTTCTAACCACATGTAACCTGTAACCATCACTTGGTTACTGCAGTACTCAAATTCTGAATATGATTGGAGGCCTAGCCTTGAACAAAACTCATCCCACAAACCCAGACATCCTCTGCTATCTGCTACCTGCTCCAAACATCTACATCCAGAGGTTGTGGGAATGGGCACGGGGGCACATCGTCCGACCTAAACAGCTACAAATAGCTTATCTCACTGGACAGCGTTACATCGTGTTGTACTGAACCAGGTTGACATGTTGGGAGACATTGGGAACCCCCATAACTAATTGTACTTTCGTCTGGGATGTGGCCGGCCCAAATCGCAGGAAGGGCGAGGGGGTGTGTGAGACGACTTGGTGTGTGTGTGTATGTGTGTGTGTCCTTATATTAGCTATTCAGGTTGGAGAGCAGGTGCAAAGGGGTGGCTGGGGCTTCTTCTGAGGAACCGTCCTTGTCCCCCTTCCGCTCCCTTGTTCCTTCAGCTTTCTCTTCCCCTC